CCCTTGGATCCAGCAGCCATAAGACATCAGAGGGGCAGCACTCACAGGAGAGAAGGCTGGACACACAGGAATCCCTGGATAAGAGGGGCACAGCGAGGGTGTGGTCACAGGGAGGAGAGCAGAGGAAAAAAGAAAAGAAAAAGAAATCAGATAGCATACTGCACTGGGCAAATCTGCTGCCAAAGACCTCTTTAAAATGCTGAAGAGGAAAGATGTCTCTTTGAAGACTAAGGTGCGCTTAACCCAAGCCATGCTATTTTCAATCATCTCATATGCCATTGAAAGCTGGACAGTGAATAAGGAAGACAGAAGAAGAGTTGATGCTTTTGAGTTGTGTTGATGCAGAATACTGAAAGTACCATGGACTGCCAGAACACCAGATGAATCTGTCCTGGCAGAAGTGCAGGTGGAATGGAAGCAAGAATGGCCTGACTTCATCTCACCTACTTTGGTAATGTTGTCAGAGGGGACCACTCCTTGGAGAAACCTGTCATGCTTGGTAAAGTGGAGAGTCAGTGAAAAAGAGGGTGGCCCTCAACAAGATGAATTGGCACAGTGGCTGCAGTGATGGGCTCAGGTATAGCAAGCATTGTGAAGCTGGTGCAGGACTGGGAAGTGCTTCATTCTGTTGTACACGGGTTGCTATGAGTCGCAGCCAACTGGATGGCACCTAGCAACAACAAAGTGGGCAAAATATTAAATGATGCAGGAAACATCCAAAGAAGATGGGAAGAATATACAGAGTCACTGTACCAAAAAGAATTGGTCGACATTCAGCCATTTCCGGAGATAGCATATGATCAAGAACCAGTGGTATTGAAGGAGGAAGTCGAAGCTGCACTGAAGGAGTTGGTGAAGAACAAGGCTCCAGGGATTGACAGAACACCCGTTTAGATGTTTCAACAGACAGATGCTGAGCTGGAGGTGCTTGTTCGGTTGCCAGGAAGTTTGGAAGACAAGTACAGGCTAACTGACTGGAAGCGATCAATAGTTGTGCCCATTCCAAAGAAAGATGATCCAACAGAACGTGGACATTTTCAAACAATATCATTAATATCACACGCAAAGAAAATTTTGCTGAAGATACTTCAAATATGGTTGCAGCAGTATATTGACAGGGAACTTCCAAAAATGCAAGCTGAATTCAGAAGAGGACATGGAATGAGGGATGTTATTGCTGATGTCAGATGGATCTTAACTGAAGACAAAGAATACCAGAGAGATGTTTACCTGTGTTTTATTGACCATACAAAGACAAACAGCTATGTGGATCATAACAAAATATGGGTTACATTGCAAAGAATGTGAATTTCAGAACACTTAATTGTGTTCATTGTTGTTGTTGTTGTTATGTGCCATCGAGTCAAACCCGACTCATAGCAACCCCTCCTTGGGTTTCCGAGGCAGTATCACTACGGAAGTAGGATTGCCCAACCTTCCTTCCGAGGAGTGGCTGGTGGGTTTGAACCACCAGCCGTCTGGTTAGCAGGCAAGTGTCTTAGCCACTATGCTACCAGAGCTCCCAATTGTTCATTAGGAACCTATATATACACCAAGAGGCATCTGTTTGAACAGGATGAGGGAACACTGTATGGTTTAAAATCAGGAAGGGAGTGCATCAGAGTTGTATTCTTTCACCATACTCATTCAACCTGTATGCTGAGCAAATAATCCAAGAAGCTGCACTATATGAAGAAGACCACCCACAGCATCAGGATCAGAGGAGACACATTAATTAACAGCCTGCGATACGCAGATGACACAACCTTGCATGCTGAAAGTAGGGTGACTTGTAGCACTTCCGAATGAAGATTGAAGACTATAACCTTCAGTATGGGTTACACCTCAATGGGAAGAAAACAAAAATCCTCACAACTGGTCTAAAAGCAGTATCATGATAAAAGGAACAAAGATTAAAGTTGTCAAAGATTTCATTTTACTTGGATCCACAGTCCACATTCATGGAAACAGCAGTCAAGAAATCGGACATCATATTGCACTTGGTAAATCTGCTGCAAAAGACCTCTGTAAAGTTGGGAAGAGCCAAAATGTCACTTTGAAGACTAAGGTGCACCCACCCAAGCCATGGTATTTTCAGTTGCCTCATATATGTGGGAATGCTGCACAATGAAAAGGAAGACTGAAGAATTGATGTATTTGAATTGTGGTGCTGGTAAAGAATATTGAACGTACCATGGACTGGCAGAAGAATGAAAAAACGGTCTTGGAAGAAGTGCAACCAAAATGATCCTTAGAAGCAAGAATGGCCAGACTTTGTGTGACCTATGTTAGTCATATTGGCAGAGGGACTGGTCCTGGAAAAGAATATGATGATTGGTAAAGTAGAAGGTCAGAGAAAAGGGGAAGATGCTCAACCAGATGGACTGATAGAGTGGCTGCTATGATGGGCACAAGCATAGCAAAGATTGTGAAGATGGTATCTCATTCTGTTGTACATATGGTCGCTATGAGTCAGAATTGACTTGACGGCACCTAACAACACCAACGACAACAATATTTATTTTAAATAGCCAGTGTCTTGCTGCCAAGTGGCTGTGACTTGGGGTTAAGTTTCTGTGCTATTTGCTGAATCATCATTGCATTTTTAGGTTATTTATCACAAACAACCCATAGTGGACCAATCGCTCAGTACCCGCCAAGTAAAACCCGACTGTTGAATACCAACACAGGTAAAATGTATGCTCCATTTCCTCCTCTGCTCCTGCACGTCTCTACCACTTGCCCTTGGCCTGGGAGGCTCAGCTATGTGGACCTCATCAGCATGGTCCCGAGCTCTGAGTGCAGGTTGGATTTGAAAACGTGGGGACCCTCACAGGCCCATCATGGGAGAGTAGGGAAAGAGGCCGTTTATGCACTCGGCACCCTCCCAGAGAGACCACTTGCAGCCATGTCCCTTAGGAGATGGCCAGTACTGCCCTGGACATGGACTACACACATTCTCTCCCTCCTGGGTCCCAGACCACCCTTCATGCCCCACTTCCTGCATCATTACCTGGAGTCCCCACAGCCCAACTTTGTAAATGGGCCTTTTATAAGCACACTTTCTTCCCATCCTCCTATCCTGAGAACACCTGCAGCTCCTTGGCTACCTTGAGTGAAGCCCACAGGTGTGTCTTTCAGGGATATTTGCCTGTACGCTGCTTTAAATGGGCACTGTGACAAACATTGAGCACCTCTGGACACTATGGCCTTTGTTCTTCCATGAATGGAGTGCTGTACAGAGAAGGGGTGCAATAACCTGGGTAGGGATGGGTCATTTACAGTGTTAACTGAGTGGTAGCGTCAGAGCCACAGCATGGCCACGGCAGGACAACCTTCTGATGACATACAAGCCAGGCTGCCATGGCTGCTGAGAGAACCTGAGATGGAAGTGTCGTTTTGTGCTCTGACTTAGCAAAGCACGAGAACAAGGAGTCACTCTATGGAGGGTCCTCAGTATGTTTCTGGGTTGTATTTGATGAATCTCAGGTGAAAGAGTACACCTCTGTGTGGTGATGTTTTCCATACAGGGATGGCATTTCTTTAAAGGGAGCACATGGCTAAGATTTATGGGAAGTCAGATCTATTGGTGCAGGAACTAACAGACCTATTACCCTGAGAGGTTTTAGTCTTCAGCACTCAGTGGGAAACATCCAAGTATTCAAGGAGGCTGCTCAGTTAGGAGTAACACAGCAGTGACCTGGAAGCAGGACTGTGTGAAGAAGAATGTGGCGTCAGGACTGGAGGAGGATTCATTAGCAACCTGCAATATGCAGATGACACAATATTTCTTGCAGAAAGTGAAGAGGACTTGAAGTACTTACTGGGGAAGATAAAAGACTATAGCTACATCAGTGAAAAGAAAACAGAAATCCTCACAACTGGACCAATAAGTTCATGATGAACTGAGAGAAGACTGAAGTTGTAGAGGATTTCTTTTTACTTGGATCCACAATCAGCATCCATGGAAACAGCAGTCAAGAAATCAGATGACATACTGCGTTGGGCAAATCTGTTGCAAAAAACCTCTTTAAAGTGTTAAAAAGCAAAGATGTCACTTTGAAGACTAAGGTGTGACTGATCCAAGCAATAGTACCTTCAGTTGTCTCATATGCATGGGAAAGCTGGACAATGAATAAGGAAGACCAAAGAATAATTAATGCATTTGAATTATGGTGCTGGCAAAGAATATGGATTATACCATGGACTACCCAAAAAATGAGCAAATGTGTCTTGGAAGTACAGCCAGAATGCTCCTGATAAGCAAGGATGATGAGACTTTTGCTCATGTGCTTTCGATACGTTTTTCAGAGGGACAGTCCCTGGAGAGAGTCATCATGTTTGGGAAAGTAGAGGGTCAGCAAAATGGGAAGACCCCCAAAAAGACGGATTGACACAGTGACTGCAACAATGGGCTGAAACCTAGCAGTGATCGTGATCACGGCACAGAACCAGGCGGCGTTTCATTCTTTTGTACATGGGGTCACTACGAGTCGAAACCGACTCAACGGCACCTGGGAACAACAATACCAGTAGCGTACTAAGAAGAGGTCCCATGTCGTTGATGACCACAACAAGAAGAAATAGTCCATGAGTGAGGCTGAAAACTAAATAAATAAACCACCGCTGTTGAGTCAATTCCAACTCGTATAGTCCCTGAATGAGAGAGTACCATTCAAAACAGAGTTTTAAGAATATTTCTGTGGTGAAATTTGAAGAAAAAAAAAAAACTGTTAAGAAAGGCTAAATATAGAATTTAAATTTATCAACACCTGATGGGAGAAATGCTTTAATATCTGATGACAAGGCTAGAATGGTAGTATTTATGTTAATGCGTGTGTATGTATGTGAATATTTGTGTGCATATATGTGTGTGTGTATGTGTGTAGGTATCTCTGTGTATGTGTGTACATGTATGCATGTTTGTCTGTGTGCACAGCTTCACACATTTACACACATCAGTCAGAAACTTAGAATAACTTTTAGTATCTTTTCCGTAGGATCGGAGGTGATTGATTTTGATGGAAATAGTTCCCTGATCTACAGATTTTCTCAAAGTGACATGTATCCAGTAAAAGATGTCATTTCTCTGAAATTTAAAACAGTGCAAAGCGATGGGATTATATTCCACAGAGAGGGAAGAAACGGAGGTCATGTCACCCTGGAATTAGTCAACGGGAAGCTCTTTCTACACATCAATTCAGGTAAATTTATCAGGAGAGGGGCTTGTTAATCTCATGACACAGATGTAGTTTGTATAGAAGTATTTTTATACCTAATCTCCTACTAGGCATTACAAATGTAAAGGCTGCTATCAGTTGTGTTTCATTTAGAATATTGTACAATGTAGTAATTGTACCGGAAGGCCATCATCACCACTCTTTATACCCTGCCAACAGAGATACTTAGCTGTAACTGAGGTTTCTCCATCTCGGCCTTGTTGACATTTTGGACTCCACCATTTTGGGGGTCAGAGTCACCCTGTGCATTGAAAGATGTTTAGCAGCATCCCTGGCCTCCACCCACAGATGTTGATAGCACCCCGCAAAATCATGACCATCAAAAAAGTCCCTTGATATGGCGGGATGCCCCTGGAGGGTACAAATGCCCCATTGAGAACCACTGTTCTGTCCTAATTCGAGGACAAGGATGCAAAAGCAACACTTTGAAGAGTATGGGTGTCAACAGATGATGAAAGACAGTGGTTGTGGATGGGTACGAGGAGGTGTAGTTAATACTGTGTCTGGAGTCCCCGAGTGGTGCAGATTGTTAGTGAGTCTGGCTTCTGTTTGCAGCAAAATGGAAAGACCCTCAAAAAGATGGATTGACACAGTGACTACAGCAGTGGGCTTAAACATAGCAGTGATTGTGAGCATGGTAGTGTTTCATTCTTTTGTACATGGGGTCACTATGGGTCCCAGTTGTCAGGTTTGAGTCCCCCCAGAAGAAAAACTTGGTGACCTACTTTTGAAAAAACCAGCTGTTGAGAACCCTGTGGGGCACAGTTCTGTGGAGTCACCATGGGTCAGAGCTGAGTCAGTGTCAGCTGGTTTAACACTGTGCTTTAGGGTCGGGTGAGCTAGCTTCACAGTGTGGAGATGTTTGGGCAGGTGCTAGGAGCAGTGGCATGGGCAGGGTCAACCATGCTTCCAACCACCTGCCCAGGTGGAACTGCACCTGATTCCCTGCCTGCGTCCACCCACACGGCACTGGGCAGCCTCCTGGATGACCAGCACTGGCACTCCATACTCCTGGAGCACTCCGGCCAGCAGGTGAACCTCACGGTGGACAGCCACACGCAGCACTTCCGAGCACCAGGTGATCTGAGCCATGTGGATCTCCTTTACGAGGTGGGAAATTAACTTGCCAGCCATCATGAGCTTTGTGGTTTAACCATGATGTGGCCCTGAGTAGCGTAATGTGTAAGGCACTTGACTGCTAACCAGAAGGCTGGCGGTTCAAACCCATCAGCCACCCCTTGGAAGGAAGGTTGGGCAATCTACTTCCATAGTGATACCGCCTCGGGAACTGCTATGAGTTGGGTCTGACTCAACAGCACATGACACAACAATAACAAAATGCCCTTCAATGAAGCTTCCTAAAGTGAACAGTGCAGAGTAGCAGTGGACAACACTGCTAAGCTTTTCAACATAGCGCACACAGCACTATGTTGCCAATGTTTAGGAGAGAGTACACAAAGGAAGAGGTCACTCTGTGATGAGTCATCTTTGTGGGCAACCCTTGGAGACTTTCTTCCTGACATAGTGTGTGTAGACCCTAACTGTGATAACTCAGAGGAACCTTTCAGCACATCCCAACTAGATATTTTAATAGCAAGAGATCCAAAGATTTGTAAAACATTTATTACTCAGGTTTTACAAGTGCCCAGCCATTGGCAGTCCATTGCGCATGTGTGTCTGAAATTGCACTAAGATACAACTTTTTTCTGCCATATGTTATAAGACATATTTGAATTCATGAAATACCAAAACAGACCAGACTGTTCCAGTTCTCATTTGTCAAAAATGGACCTAGAAGATTCAACCAACAGAAGATTGTAGCCCTGTTTTATGTCATTCATGATAGTGTTACCTTAAACACCTAGTGCATAGGCAGAGGCAGCACCATGATGTTTTGTACACAGGTGAACGTGTACACCATCCAGAGGTGTATATAACCCAGAATAGTGTTGTATTATTTGCACAGATTTATTTGCTGCACAATCAAAGCATACTGTGCCACGAGCATAAAAATGTTATATCCCCCCCAACCACTGCATGCCGCAGCCAGATTTGACAAGCAACCCTGGAGGGGCTCATTTAATCTAATCCATGACATTAGCGACATGATGGCTACCTTAGGCCCAGACCCCTCATGTCCAGACCCTGGACACAAGGAAGGAGACAGCAGGGCAGGGCAGGGGTCCACACAGGGCTGATGCCAGATAAAGCCCTGCCAGGGCTGTGTCAGCTGGGTCTGGTGGGTCTGCTGCATCCATCTGTGTCCTTGGGGGATGACCTGAGGCACAGGAACTCAGCTGTCGTACTCCTGCACCCGGGCCACCCAGGGCATGCCAAGTGCCACCCTTGAAGGAAAGCCAGCTGTGGAGAGGACAAAGAGAAGAGGAGCTCCCAAAGATGGTAGCAGGGCTTGGAGGGGTTCTGGGTGGATACTGGCATTCTGGGGCCGGGGGAGAGGAAGAAGGGAGACTCCCGAAGACTTGAGGGGATCTAGCATTCTCTGCTCCAGAGACGCTGGTTCTGTCTACCCCAAGCAGTGCTAGTTCACACCTGTTGTCCAGCCATCAATATTAATAATCCTTTCTCCTCCCCAAAGTGCCCTAGTTTGATAGTAAATGACATGGTCTCTTTATTACGGATGAAGGAGCTCTGGTGACAGTAGGTGTCAGGTACATGCAAAAATGTTTTAGGATCTATGTCTTAAAATTAAGAAGGATGACGATATAAAATTATGCACAATTCCTTCTGTGACTCTGACTACGTGCCTGTGTACCAGGTGTTTTAAGCAAGTTATCAGAAACTCATTAAAGAATATTATTAATGTCATTTTTCTTTCTAAGATCAGCTTTGGAGGTATTTTAGCACCTGGAAAATCAGTGACATTTCAAAGAAAAAATTTCCATGGATGCTTAGAAAATATTCATTTTAATGGAGAGGATATCATTGATTTGGCCAAGCAGCACAGTCCACAGGTCTTCATTACGGTAAGAGAGTTCCTGGGGGTCCACGATGGGGACCCCAGGGAGAGCCACTGGTACCACATGACAAAAACAGTACCTTCTGTGCTCTTAAGTGATAATCTGTTAATAATGACTCTTAGCAATCCAGTGACTTCCTCAGAGCGGACATGACAAGTAAATACAAAAGCAAAAGTAATTTGTGGTCTGGGTGAAAAGCATGGTTTTTACCACATCTCTGTAATCCAGAGAGTGATGGGCCTTGGGACCAAGGGGGCAAAGGGGAAGACATGTGGAGGAGAGTAGTGACTGTGCCCACAGGGCCCTCACAGGCCACAGGACTGGCATCATACAGGCACCTGTTGGATCCAGTTACATAGAGGTCCCTGTGCTGACTGGTGAATGGGGCAGACAGGAGACACTGTGGAGATCTGCCTATTGGGAATTCACATCAAGGGGACAGTCCCCTGAGATCAGTGCCCTGGAGGTAGGTATTCTGGGAACACACTGGTGACATGACAGCTTAGTCCTGGGAGAGCTTGGTTGATGAGCCGCGTCTCCAGGTGCTGAGATGGGCATGCCCCATGATCTCTTACTTCTCTCATTCTGTTCCCAGGGTAACAAGTCGTTCTCCTGCTCACAACCACAGACTGTGCCAGTGACATTCCTGAGCCCTCAGAGCTCCTTGGCACTAACAGGCTTCCCGAGGGAAGATGGAGTCACTATCAGTTTCCAATTTCGAACATGGGATAGAGCAGGACATCTGCTGTCCAGCCGGCTTCATAAGGGCTCAGGGGACCTTCTACTCGTTCTAAGTAATGGGAGCCTCAGACTGAGCCTATACAGCTCTCTGGGGCAAGGACAGAGCAGCATCACAGCAGGTAACAGATGTCCCCAGAGTGACAGCACACATGGCTCTGTCACCCCAAGTCCCACAGAACCCACAGGGTTCCATCATCACAGATCCCATAGCAGACACAGTTCTGTCATCCTGAACCCCGCAGAAAACAGGGCCGTGTCATCCCAGAACTCGTTAAAAAAAAAGAAAAAAGATGGCTGCATCATCCCAGATCCCACAAAACACATGGCTCCATCATCCCAGATCCTACAGAACATCCCAGGGCTACATCACCCAAGATCCCACAGAAAACATGGCTCCGTCCTCCCAGATCCCACAGAAGCTCCCATGGCTCCATCACTTCAGGTCCCACGGAGCACATGGTTCCATCATCCCAGATCCTACCGAGTACACAGCCCTGTCATCCCAGACCCAGCAGCACACATGGCTTCATCATCTCAGACCCCCCAACACACATGGCTTCACCATTCCAGATCCCACAGAAAACGCGGCTCCATCATCCCACACCCCAAAGAAGCTCACACCCAACTAGTATTACTTTAAAACGATGCCTTGAGTCAACGAGACACTCGGTATTCCTGCTTTCAGATGTGCATCCCATTGCCTTGAACACAAGGTCCCTGCCATCTATACTCATGTTGTACCAACTTAGTGCCCCAAGTGGCTCCAAGAGGTACCTGGGAGCAGTTGTCCTCCTGCCATGCCTCCCTGCCAGCTCCACCCTGTTCCCCGTGCACACCCCCGTCCTTGTGTCTGCTCAGTACCGCATTGCCCAGACCCTGGTGCTCTGCTCACGAGTGCACGTACCCTGCTCTCATCCACTCCACATCCCTCTGTGTTTGAGTTGTCATGAAACACAGCAGCAGGTGAGAGCAGTTCTCCATCTTTTGACAATGGCTGGTGTTCGCTATAGCAACCACAGTTAGTATCACATCTTGGGCGAGGGACCCATGAGGCTTGTACTGCTGGAGCTGAGTCTGGATCACATGCCCCATGCTCTTATGATGTCTGACCCCCAGGGATCTCTCTTAAGCCCAGTAGTTCACTTGTAAAATGGCAAGAAGGACTGGTCCCCAGTGTGGCACGACCGTCTGGAGAATATTCTGTTTTCACCCACAGAGACCCTCCCCTCCTCTCATTACCCACTCCTACTCTCCGGGGCAGGGCTGTTTTTGTTGAATAGAAGCTTTGATAAGCCTTATGAGATAAGCACTGACATTCCAAAATGATGTTCTTGATTATTAATCAGTGATCATTTGTCATCTTTGGATGGAGAGGAGGCGAAAGAAGGCTGTGGTTTTATTTTGCTTGTTGGATTTTTGAGTTTACTGTTTGGGTGCTATGGTAGGAAGAGGAGAAACAAGATGTTGCCAGGACTACCTATCCCCATTGTCAGAGGACAGCACCTTTACCCAGAGACGAGCTGTGACTATGATGAAAGAGAGGAAGAGGTGGGCAGCATAACCTTGAGGCTGGTGCAGGAAGTCACCAAAGGCGGCCTCTTCCTGTGACCCTCAGGCATAGAGGGCCCAGCCCCGCCCTGGCTCCTCCACGGTTCCTGGGCCTGGTAGAGAAAGTCTCCATTTGGAGGCACCTTGAGAGGGAAGTGGATGCCAATGAGGAGTGGACCCTGCACAACGTACAGGATATCTCCCAGCACATAAGCTCTTTCATCAAATCAGCCTTATTGCTGAAGTATCTGGAGTTACACAGCTTTCCTCTGTACAGAAAGACCGCTGACTGCAAAGGGAGTCACCCCCAACTGGGCTTCAGTGGGTCATTCACATGATCAGAAATGTCCTCGAGAGGCCTGTGGGACAGCCGAGCTCCTCGGATGCCCTCTGGCCTCTACATCTGGTGAGGACCATTTTCACCTCTGCGTGTGGATGCTGGGATCCTTGACAACAAATACTCTCTCATGTGAGGTACCATCCCAGCCCTGCTGGCAGAGGCCTGCCGTGGAATCACTGATGTTTGACGTTTAGATAACACAGAATTGACGTCTCTGTGCAATAATCCAGGCCAGAAGCAAGAAAGCTTGAGACAGAAAACAGTCAAAAGACACCTGGAAACTAAATAGGAAGAAAAGTTACACATTTCTCTGTGCATCCCCATAGTTTATTTCTGTCTTACTGAAAAATGAAAATGGAGCCCCAAAAATAGCACCCCCCTCCATTTTTCAGGGGACAACTACACTTTAGCCACTCATCAAGCATTAATGAGACGTTCACATGAGTAGGTCCATGAGAAAGAAAGAAATCTCATTCAGTCGCAATGGGTAGGCTCTCACAATTACTGTCAGAGGATGTGAATTCACAGTATGTATGCCATTGCCGGGTAGTTTATTGTAATGAATCTGATGTCCTCTGAAGAGATTTAATCATAGCCTCGCTTTAAATAACATAAAGAAATTGCTCCAGCTTTATCTTTCTGCAATAAGCACCATTAAGCCATTATCATTTGTAACTACTCTATTGGCATAAGTATCTGAGAAATTGTGGGAAATAAGATTATAAATAAAAATAGATTTGAATATAATATATAGTAGTATACATGCTCAAGGGAGCTCTGGTAGCATAGTGGCTAAGACACTTGCGTGCTAACCAGACGGATGGCGGTTCAAACCCACCAGCCACTCCTCGGAAGGAAGGTTGGGCAATCCTACTTCCGTAGTGATTCTGCCTCGGAAACCCAAGGAGGGGTCGCTATGAGTTGGGTTTGACTCGATGGCACATAACAACAACAACATACATGCTCAACAGAAGGAGGTGATGAGGACATCTGCAGTGGGAAGGGGTTGATGAGGACATCAACAGTAGGGAGGTGAGGAGAACATCAGTGGTAGGAAGGAGGTAATGAGGACGGGGTTGATGAGGATAGCGACCCCTCCTTGGGTTTGTGGGGCTGTATCACTACCAAAGTAGGTTGCCCAATCTTCCTTGCAAGGAGTGGCTAGTGGGTTTGAACCACCAGCCTTCTGGTTAGCAGTCAGACACCTTAGGCACTGTGCCACCAGAGCTTCCTAGATAAAGATATCCATAGTGGAAAGGAAGAGATAAGACATTCAGGTTGGGAAAGAGTTGATGAAGCCATCCATGGGGAGTGGCCTCTGGGCTGGCCCTGGTGACCTCGTGGAGTTTACACCCTTCTTTAACCCCATTCCCTGAACGAGGTCTGGACCCAGTGACTCCTTAGTGAGGAGAATGTGGCATCGTAATGAGTTGCCAGTTCTGAGATTAGGACACAGAGAGACAGCTGCCCTCGACAGTGTGCTGTCTCTTGCTCTAAGGGAAGCCAGTGGCCAGGTTGTGAGATGCCCTATGGAAAGGCCCACATGGCGCAAACTGAAGGCAGCCCCCAGCCCACAGCCATCAAGGACCTGAGGCCTCAGTCCACTGGTCCACAAGGAGCTGAGTCCTGCCAACAACCACCTGAGTGAGGTTGGCAACAGATCCTGCCCGAATACCCTAAGATGAGTCCACATCCCAGACTTTGGGACTGCAGCTCCTGTAACTTCAGGACAGCACCTACTTGCCCTTGTTATGTAAATTTGTCCTCACTTGAAACAATTAAACCTATGGCATTTGACTGCTAACCAGAAGGCTAGCTGTTCAAACCCACCAGCCACTCCATGGAAGGAAGATTGGGCAGTCTACTTCCATAGAGATACTACCTGGGAAACCCGAGGAGGGGTCGCTGTGACTCCAATTGACTCGATGGCAGTGAGTTTCTACTCCCAACAAATCCTTCATTACAATCAGCTTTACTTGCTGCACATGCAGCTTTTATATCATTGAAACGTTTTTGAGCCTTTTCGTGCACTTAAAGCAACACTAAGGCATTTGACTGCTAACCAAAAGACTGGCAGTTCAAATGTACCAGCCACTCCTCAGAAGAAAGACTGGGCAATCTACTTCTGTAGAGATCCCGCCTCGGAAATGCAAGTAGGGGTCGCTATGAGTCAGAATCGACTCGACAGCAGTGAGTTTGGTTTTTTTTTTTTTTTTTTTTTAATAAAAAATGTGTGCACCTGTTCCAGTTGACCTACAAATTGGATTTAAAGACACTTAGGAACTGATCTCATTCACAGCCGGGGACACCTGCAACACCATAAGCACAGTTATAGGAAACTAACACAGTGGCTTTTTAATGAGAAGAACATATTTACTTATGAATTATTATCATAATAAAGTACATCCTTTCATTAAATAAGAGTGGTTCACTTTTGTCTTGGCTATTAAAAATTTAAATTGGTAATCTCATATTCATTGAGATTCTTAACTTGGAATGAAAGTTAAATGGTGTTGAACTTGGAGCTGAATTGAGACAATTTGTATAAATATTTGAATTAGAAGGCAAAGTTTCAATGTTAATATACAGCTTCACAGATTGTCATTTTAAATTGTTTAAAATTATTATTGTAGCCAATTCGAAGCCTAAGATAATTTATTTTGTCAATCCTTGTCCCCCTTATGAAGATCAAACCAGAAACCAGTCAGATGACAGTGGGACCTGAAGAACCCCTTTATAATCCCAGTGTCATTGAAGCATTAATTGTCTTAGCTACATGCTTTTTCTAGCTATTTCCATGTTGATTTTCAGGTCTCTGGTGGCATAGTGCTGCTAACCAGAAGGCTGGTAGTTCAAACCCACCAGCCACTCCTTGGAGAGAAGGTTGGGCAATCTACTTCCATGAAAATATTGCCTCAGAAACCCAAGAAGGGGTCACTACGAGTCAAAATTGACTCAGTGGCAGTGAGTTTGGTTTGGAGTTTAAAGCCTTGCCATCTTGCTGCTCAGCTGTCTTTGGGATTGGATAGACATATGAATATTAGTTAGAAAACCAAAAGGAAAGAACACACTCAGCATTTCTCAAGCTGAAAGAACTGAAGAAAAAATTCAAGCCGTGGGTTGTGATATTGAAGGTTTATATGAGAAAAATGTTGAATGATGCAGGAAGCATCAAAAGAAGACAGAAAGAATACACAGAGTCACTGTACAGAGAATTGATTGATGTTCATCCCTTTAAGAAGGTAGCATATGATCAGGAACCAATGCTATTGAAAGAAGAAGTCAAAGCTGTGCTGAAGGAATTGATGAGAAACAAGGCTGCAGGAATTGACAGAACACCCATTGAGATGTTTCAGTAAACAGATGCACTGCTGGAGGGACTTGCTCATTTATGCCACTTAATTTGGAACACCTGACCAACTGACGGGAAGAGATCCATATTTGTGCCCATTCCAAAGAAAGATAGTGGAAATTATCACATGATATCATTAATATCACATGTAAGTAAAATTTTGCTGAAGATAATTCAAAAATAGTTGCAGTGGAATATTGACAGAGAACTGCCAGAAATGTAAGCTGGATTCAGAAGAGGATGTGGAATGAGGGATATCATTGCTAATGTCAAGTAGATCTTGGCTGAAAGCAAAGAATACCAGAAAGATGTTTACTTGTGTTTTACTGACTATGAAAAGAATTTGATTGTGTGGATCATAACAAATTATGGGTAACATTGAGAAGAATGGGAATTCCAGAATACTTAATTTTGCTCACGAGGAACCTGTACATAAACTGGAAGGCTGTCATTTGAACAGAGCAGGGATCTATTGCAAGGTTTACAATCAGGAAGGGAGTGTGTCAGGGTTGTATCCTTTCACCATACTTATTCAATCTCTATGCAGAGCAAATAATCTGAGAAGCTAGACTATATGACAAATAATGTGGCTTCAGGATTTGAGGAAGACTCATTAGCAACCTGTGATATGTAGATGACACAGCCTTTCTTGCTGAAACTGAAGGTGCCTTGAAACACTGATGAAGACTAAAGACGACAGTCTTCAGTATGGATTACACCTTAACATAAAGAAAACAAAAATTCCAAGAAACCAGGGACACCATGACCATGCAATGCTAAAAAATAATGTAGAATCTGCAAAACACTGTATAATGTGGATGAACTTGGAGGACATTATGCTGAGTGAAATAAGTCAATCACAAAAGGACAAATATTGTATTAGTCTGTTATTGTAAAAGTTAAGGAAAGATGTATCTATAGAAGGAAATGTTCTTTGTTGGTTACCAGGGGTGGGAGGGGAGGGGAGGGAAGGCTGTTAGATAGATAGAGATAAGTATTGATTTGGGTGAAGAGAAGGGCAATGTCCCAAATGTGAGTGACCAATATGGCAGCATTGAGGATCAGAACGACATAGAGAGGTACATGGGAGGTATAGACAACAAATACGAACCCTTTTGCACATACAGTACTGCGGTGTTAGTGAAGGCAAACATGGGTATATGGATGGATAGATGGGTGGACAGGCTAAATGATTAGATATGTCTGTGAAATGGGGAGTGTATCCAAGAGCATATATAGGGTTGGCAGACAATGGTCCTATAAGTTTATGTGAATGATCATAATTCCTAAGTGTATAGTAGAGCTGACAAGGGGCAAAGGTTGTGGTGACTGCTTGGTCACAGCCAGCTACCCAGAGGGACCGAGTAGTTGAACCTGCACACTTGGGACCATAGTCGCAGGGGACATCAAGCTCAATTGGCATAGCATACTACACAAAACATTGTTCCACCTCCTACTTTGGCAAGTAGCGACTGGGATCTTGAAAGCTAGCAAGCTGCCATCTAGATGCAACGATGGGTCTCTCCTCATCCAGAGCAAAGAAGAATGAAGAAAACCAAAATTCATGGAAACAATTAGTCCTAGCGACTAGTACACCATCCGATCTGCAGCCTATACAACTATGAGACCAGAAGAACTAGATGGTGCCCGGCTACCACTGTCATCCACTTGGAAGGGGATCTATGTAGGAGACCCTTGATAGAGAGGGAGAACAATGTGGAACAAAACTCAAAATCATTTGGAGGGGAAAAAAAATTGGTGACCAGCTTTGCTGGTGGAACCCCTGAGACTATGGCCCCTAGCTGCACTTCAGGTCTGGAATTGAACCCATACCTGTAGTTTCCAGGCAAACAAATACAGGCATATGAGTTGAACATTTACCTCAAGTAGATACAGTCCTTGGAGAGAACAATTATGGGAGAAAGATGGGCTGCTTATGCACAGGGAGACAGCTCAGGTGGCAGGAGAGTATAGAGGGATGGACACTGGGAAGAGGTAACTATGGGGAGGAAGTGGGAGGGGAGCTGTTGCATTGTGGTAAACTGTGGTCAGTGACATGAGACAAAGTATATGTGAACTGCTGTATGGAGAGTGAATTTGCTCTGTAAATCTTCACCCAAATCACAATAAATTAAAAAAAAAAAAAAAAAAATTCTCACCGCTGGACCAGTAAGCAATATCAAGTTAAATGGAGAAAAGATTGAAGTTGTCTAAGATTTCATTTTACGTGTAAAATGAAATCAACACTATAATCTATAATCAACACTCACAGAAGTAGCAGTCCACAAATCAGATGTTATATTGCGCTGGGCAAATCTGCTGCAAAAGACCTCTTTAAAGTGTTGAAGAGCAAAGATGTCACTTTGAAGATGAAGGTGTGCCTAACCCAAGCCATGGTTTTTTCAGTCACTTCATATACATGTGAAATCTGGACAATGAACAAGGAAAGCTGAAGAGGAGTTGATGGCTTTGAATTATGGTGTTGGCAAAGAATAATGAAAATACCATGAACTGCCAGAGGAACAAATCTGACTTGGAAGAAGTACAGCCTGAATGGAAGCGTGTGTGGCCAGGCTTCGTCTCACCTACTTTGGTCATGTTGTCAGAAGAGACCGTTGGAGAAGGATGTCATACTCGGTGAAGTGGCAGGTCAGCGAAAGAGGGGAAGACCCTCACCGAGATGGACTGACGCAGTGGCCGCAACAGTGGGCTCGGGTATAGCAAGGACTGTGAGGATAGCACACAACCGGGCAGTGTTTTGTTCTGTTGTACATAGGATTCCTATCAGTCAGAGCCTATCGATGACACCAAACAACAATATAGCGAAATGAGATCTAAAAACCAAAAATTCACTGCTGTCAAGTCAATTCAACTCATAGCAACCCGTCCTTGGGTTTCCGAGGCAGTATCACTACAGAAGTGCATTGCCCAATCTTCCTTCTGAGGAGTGGCTTGGGTTTGAACTGCCAGCCTTCTGGTTAGCAGTCAGATGCCTGTGGCACTACGCCATCAGAGCTCCATGCTATGTTTCTGCCTCTTTCCTGTTCTCTTTTAGAAACCATATTGAATCTTTGAAAACCTTCTTTTCTCTTCTTCCCTGATATATCATAAACAATGAGCTGCTAGCAGACAGGGCTGGCTTTGTCTTACTGCAAACCTGTCCATCTGGTCAAGGGGTTGATACCCTGCCTGAACCAAGCACTGGGAAACAGCCTCCCAGGAACCGAGCAACCACGGAGAATGAAAAACAGACCTGTCACTGCCTTCCAGGTCTGCTGGACCACTGAGGCTACTGAGTACTAATTTTATCTGCAGAGTGATACTGCAGATATGAAACCTGATAAGTAAATCTACAAGAGGGAGAGAAAGGGCATGTGGCCACTACCTGCCCTCCAGTGACTTAATCTCACTCCTTCTAAAGGAGGAATGAGGTATTATGTCACAGATCCACAAGATGGTGAATGCTTTTGAGGGACCATCATGATATTTAAGACTCATAAGAACACTTTGCTTTCTGATTACAGCAACAGCTCGTGTCCTTTGCAGCAAATCTGGAAAATAGAGCAAAGTAAAAGTGAAATACAGTGGAAATCGCTGCAATCCCTTCATCTACAAGTGACCATTTATTTTAGGCACATTTCCTGTCTATCTGGTAAATGTGTGTGTCCATACACAAACACACACACATGCATAATTTCTTGAGAATTTTCCATTTTATTAATATTCTTCTAAATATCTTTATTATTTTATATATATATATATATATATATATATATATATAATACTATAACATCTATATATTATTACAGGATCTGCCTAGATATATAACATGGAACGGTGAAGAAATAATACAAAGTGTGTTTTAATTTATCCCAGGATTTTGGACAGTAACTCCTTTGTTATCTCCTCTAAAGTTCAAAGACTTGAATGTGAGCTGGAAGGTGTCCTGGGTCACATGATGGGAGACTTTAGACGTTTGGAACTCAGGGCTCCCTGTGGATGGTGGTGGACTGTGCACTCTCCTACCACACGCATGGGGTGGATTCCCTCTACCCACTTTGTTCTGTACTTTTCTCCAGCATTTCCCAGCCTTGTGGTTAATGGGTGTCACTTTTGTTTGATGTTGGTTTCTCAGGTGCTGGAGTGAGTGATGGGCAGTGGCATTCCGTCTCTATCATAGCCAAGAGGAATCACCTGAGTTTAACAGTGGATCAGGACATGGCCTCCGCTGCTCATGCTGTGGTCCCCACGGAGATTTATTCAGGCAAGGCCTATTACTTTGGAGGTGAGTGAAGGGGCTGAGTGAGGTATCTTCACTCCCCTGTATGAGAGTGCAGTCATGATTTTTGTAGTGTACTCTTTCTGATTCCCCAAGACTTCAGCAAACATGAAGAACTTTTTTTCCCCTCAAAGCAGCTTTAGTGAGATGTAATTTACATCAAATTCACCGACCTAAAGTGTATGATTCAATGAACTTTAGTAAATTTGTAGGGCTGTGCACCTATCACCACAGTCCAGTTTTAGAATATTTCCTTTATCCTAAAATTATTCCTCATGTCCAGCTGACGTCCAACCCTACTCCCAACTCCAGTCTTAGGTAACTGTTAATCTTCCCATGGGTCACCCCCGGTGTCACCTTTATTTGGTCATGATTGTGAAGTGCCTACTCACTGTGTGTGCCATTCTGCTGTATGTTTTCTCTATTTCTTGAGTGTTTTTTGTTCCCCTTTCTCCATACCATTGTAATTATTTAAGTAAGTTTCTTAGTGACTGCTCTAAGGATGCATTGTAATTCATCACCCTCTAATTCATATTAAAAACAATGGAATTCTGGTAAAATATAAAAATGTGTGCCACTGTTGCTCCATTTCCCTGCTCTCCTTTGGCTGTTATTGACCTATGGCTGCGTGTTTCTGTTACAAGGCCAAGAATGCCATTTAATAAATATTGCTTTATGCAATCTTATGCACTGAAATCAATTAAGAGCAGAAAAGGGGAAAGCGTTATTTATACAATCTGTAATATTCATCCATGGCTTTGCCTTTTCCAGTTTTCTTAATTTATCCATGTGAATTGAATTATTGTTTGGTTTCCTTTCCTTCCATCTTGAAGGATTTCCTTTTGTGTTTCTTCTAAGACATGTTTGCTGGCAACACATTCTCTCATTCTTTGTTTTCTGAGGATCTTTTATTTTGCCTTCCGTTTTGAGGGCTAGAGTCCCTGAGTGCAGAATTCTTTGACGATTTTTCCCAGCGCTTTGAGTATGCTGTATCACTGCTTTCTGTCTTCGTTACTTCAGATGAGAAGTCAGCTTCCCTGCATGGGATGTGCCGTTTCCTCTTGCTGCTTTCAAGATTTTCTCTCTGTTGCTGTCTTTGGGCTGTTTGACTGTGTGTCTAGCTGTGGATCCGTTTGTGATTATCCATCTTGCAGTTTGCTGAGCTTCCTAATGGTTTTCAAACAGTTTGGGAAGTTTTCAGTCATTATTTTTTCAAAATTTTTCTGCCCTTTTCTCTCTCTCCTTGTATTAATTTTCTATCGCTTCCATAACAAATGACCGCACACTTAGTTAGTTAGAAGTGCACAGTTTAGTGTGTTGTACTGTCATGAGTCATATGTCCAAACCAAATGACCACACACTTAGTTAGTTAGAAGTGCACGGTTTAGTGTGTTGTACTGTCATGAGTCATATGTCCAAACCAAATGACCACACACTTAGTTAGTTAGAAGTGCACGGTTTAGTGTATTGAACTGTCATAAGTCATATGTCCACACCGGGCTCCACTGCAGCAGGGTGTGGCAGCTTCTGGCCTTTCTGGAGCCTCCCCTTTTCCAGATCCTAGCGGCTGCCCACACTCTTTAGCTCATGACCCACTTTGTCTGTCTCCAGAGGCAGCTAAGGCCCGTTGCCATGACCCTCATTCTTTCATTGCATCTCCCTCTGACTATAGCAAGGAAAGTGTCTTTCCTTTTAAAGATTCATGTGATTAGAGTGGCCCACCCAAATAATGCAGGATAATCTCCTCATTTCAGAGCCAGCCGGTTAGCAACCTTAATTCCATCTGGAATGTTCACTCTTTTTTTATAATGGGCATGCCTCCTTCAGTAGATGTTACCCATTTAGACTGTCTATCACCCTATAAATAAGAAAACAATAGATGAAAGGCTTCAGAGTGTGACTAGCTGTTTAGAGATCCCTTTGGATCGGAAACCTCCGAGTGCTGTGTGCTGCATATGGCACCGCAGTGGAGCTCATGAGGGCTTGGCATGTGAGTGCATCCTTGTGTTTGCCATATTAATGTGGCTCATTGGGAAGAGAAAGTATTGCAGAGCGATGACCATTAGTGTATAATGATAGGATCTGTTACTTCTTCTCAAATTGTAAATCCGTGTTGCGTTTTAATCTGTTCACTTACGATGGCTAATGTTAAAAGGAGTTGAAGTTTTCTAGGGTGCTTCAGCAAAGGCTCTTGCTTTGACTTCATTGTTACATCATAACAAAGCTCCATTTTTTTCCATTCCTGACTCCAATGCCATTCGCTCCTCCCAAGGGAGGGAGCAGAAGCTCTCCTAGATGTAAAGGAAACCTGAGCCTCAGGGCTCTGTAAGCAGAGGGAACAAGCTGCCTTTCCTGCCTGTGCTGTGTGACCTTGTGTCCTGGTCATCCTCTTTCCCTTTGTGTGTCCGACCCATCAGGGTGCCCACCTCTCGGCTCTGGGTCTGAGTGTGCGCCAGCCCTCGGAGGGTTCCAGGGCTGTCTGAGAGACATCTCCATCAATGCCCAAGAAGTGGACCTGATTGCAGTGCAGCAGGGGTCACTGGGGAACTTCAGCGACCTCCAGGTAGATACCTGCGGCATCCTCGACAGGTAAGGACGGCCGTGGCATCCCTTTACTTGAACTGTTGATGGCAGGTTACCATCACACAGGCAGGTGGGTAGCTGGGAAGTTGTTTCTGTCTGTCTGTCTTCCCTCCGTTCGCCCTTCTCTTTCCTTTCTGTCTCTCTCCTTCCAGGGATGGTACACAGGAAGTAGGATAGTTATATTTCTAATTCTAAACGGTAAGAAAATTTTACCTATACTTGTGTAGAATAGCTTCCTTCACATGACAACATTTGGATAGAAGGCATATGGGCTGGGAAATGTAGATCAATTAGAACAGCATTTACCAGAGGAACGAAAGACTTCGTCTTCAGTTTTGTACACAAAGTAACTTAGCTCTTCACATGCTAAAAACCTCTATATTGTCTGTTCAAAAAAAAAAAAAAAAACCCCACCAGGGCCCTCTATTTGTGCTTCTGATTAATCATGTTTTAAGTTTTTGCCACTGATTTTAATATTCCATGGACTCTCCTCCTCATACTCTCAACTCTCTCTCTCTCTCTCCCTGCCATCAAGTCGAATCCAGCTCATAGCGACCCCTCCTTGGGTTTCCGAGGTAGTATCACTGCGGAAGTAGCTTGCCCAACCTTCCTTCCGAGGAGTGGCTGGTGGGTTTGAACCGCCAGCCTTCTGGTTAGCAGTCAAGTGTCTTAGGGACTATGTCACCAGGGCTCCTCCTCGTACTAGGGCTCTAATAAGTTCAAATATATAACATTGAAAATTCATTATGGCTGAATTAGTGGATTTCTATGACCCTTAAAAAGTTTTAAGATAAATATAAATATTTTGTCATGGAAATGAACATATTATTGATTCATTGATAAGAATGTTAACAAAATATCATATATAAATTCAAGTTTATATCCTTATACGTAAATACATATACAACTGTAGTGGTTATTTTGCCTGCTAAGATTTCAGGTGATTTTTACTTTCTGGTAGTCTTTTGGATAGCTTGATTATTTGATAGTAAACATTTGCTTTTTATAATCAAGAAAACCAGTAAGACTGTGATTAATTGAAATTCATAAAAGTCTTGTAAGTGGAATGTCAAATGTTCCTTTCTTAGTTTAATTACCAGCAAAACCCAAATGCCATCTAGTCAGTTCTGACTCATAGCGACCCCCATTGGGTTTCCAAGGTAGTAAATCTTTATGGAAGTAGATTGTCGCATCATCCTTCCATGGAGGTGGGTTTAAACAGCCACCCTTCTGGTTAGCAGTCACATGCCTTAGGCACTGCGCCACCAGTGCTCCTTTAGTTAATTAAGCAGATGGCAAATACACATCACACATAGATAGCTATTGGGTTAACTTGAGCTTTTGCTGAGTTATTGATTCTTCTTAGGAGAGCACAGTGGACATGAAGCTTTGCTCCCAAATGGCCTTTTATTCTAAACCCTAAATGAAAAAGAACTGGAATGATATGTGAGCCTACAGGAAGTGAGTCCCTGGATTCCTGGCCCAGTGGTGGCATGTGGACGGGGGTCTGCCCCCCTCCCAATTCCTGGCCCAGTGGTGACATGTGGACGGGGGTCTGCCCCCCTCCCTTTCTTGGGGATCCTCTGGATTCCTGGCCCAGCGGTGACATGTGGGCAGGGGTCCTCTGCCTCACTCCCTCTCTCTTTCCTTTTGGATGTCTCCCCTTGATCTCTCCCTTTCACTGCCGTTCCTTCCTTTCAAAATTTAAACATGGGGTAATTCAACATGATAAGGATCATTACTATTTTATGTTTTATAAAGTAAACTGTGTGTTACTTTGGTAGATAAAAATCATTCTCCGATATAAAGGAAGGGACACAGTTCAGCTGTCACAAATGCTGGATGATCATCTCAGCCTGACAGGTGCATTGACTCAGTTCAGGCAGTGTTAGTGGTTAACCATACCAGGTGACTTTCTGTCTATCCCGACTCATGGCAACCCCATGGCTATTAGAGGAGCACCGTGCTCCACAGGGTTTTCAATGAGTGATTTTTTCGGAAGTGGATCGCCAGTCCTTCTTTCAAGGTGAACTTGAACTGCCAATCTGCTGGTTAACTGCAGAGCACTGTATCTGCTTGCACTTCCCTAGGACTCCCTGTTAGGGGTAGGGAACTCCATTTACAGTGTCCGTTATCACTTGGAATTAGGTGCATATGTGACTGCTGTCATCCTGCATGGCATTCATGCATTTTCAGCATATTTGACCTGTATGTGTCATGACCTGGGGTGGAACAGAGACTGTCTCTGCTCCTTCTTTCAGGTGTTTGCCCAACTACTGTGAGCATGGTGGCAAGTGCTCCCAGACCTGGAACACCTTCAACTGCAACTGCAGCGGCACAGGATACACAGGCGCCACATGCCACCACTGTAAGCCTCTCGTGACTACCTGCCCTGTCTGTCCTGATTCCCAGGGACTTTGTGTTCCATATTTTTAGGATGAGTGCCCATGTCTCTGTAGAGCTATGATTTGGTAAACAAACATGCATTTCAGCATCCAGTGGAGTCCTAAACTGGAAAGAAAGTAGGAGACAACAGATAAAAGGAAAATACATATTCAACAATAGAATGCAATCAAAGAGAAAAATGAAACAAAGTCAAGCATGCCGATTATAATCTCTTGTTTGGTTTCTTGAGTTGGGCAGCAATTTTGGTTCTGAGCCTTTCTGGCAACAACATAAAGTGGATATATGATCATCATCAGGTTATGAATGGTCATAAAATTAAACATATTCTCAAGAGGAGCCCTGGCAGGAGGGGACCAATTGCCATGGGGATTCAGATTTCAGAGAGAGACCCTTCCAACCCTGGCATCATTTAATGGTGGTGGTGATGATGAAGACAGTGTTAGTGATGGTGATGATGGTGGTGGTGGTGATGGTGGTCATGATCATGATGGTGATGGTGGTGATGGTGGTGGTGATGATGGTAATGAAGTGATGGTGGTCATGGTGATGACAGTGATAATTATGATGATGACAGTAATGGTGGTGATAGTAACGATGGTGTTGATAGTGATGATGATGGTGATAGCGGTGATGGTGGTGATGGTGGTGGTGATGATGGTGATGATAATGAAGTGATGGTGGTCATGGTGATGACAGTGATAATTGTGATGATGACAATAATGGTGGTGATGATAATAATGATGGTGATGATGGTGACAATTGTTCCTGTATATTAAGAACTCCTTACATGACAGGTCCTGTTCTAATGCATTCTCTGTATTACCTAATTCAACCTATACAGCAGCCCTAGAACTTACCAAACCAAAAACCAAACTCACTGCCATCAAGTCAATTCTGACTCAGCATCCCTATTGGGTTTCCAAGGCTGTAAATCTTTACAGAACCAGACTGCCTCATCTTTCTTCCATGGAACAGCTGGTGAGTTTGAACCACTGACTTTTTGGTCAGCAGCTGAATGCCTTAACCACTACGCCACCAGAGCTCCTTCTCTAGGACTTAGGTGCTTCTGAAGTCCCCATTGTACTGCTGAGGGAACAGAGATGGTACTGTAATGGACCGTCTCCTGTCATTCGTCACCTTGATGCATGGTTTGTCAGCCTCAGCATTACTGACATTTGGGGCCCAGAAACTATTACGGGGGCTGCTCTGTGCGTAGCGAGGTGTTTAGCAGCATCCCTGGCCTTCACCCATGAGATTTCAGTATCACTAACCCCACATCCAGTTGTGACACCAAAACTGTCTCTACACATTTCCAAGTGTCCCTGGGAGTCAAAATCATCACCCCAGAACCAATGCTTTGGTGTAATTTTTGCACTTTTTGTCTAATTTAATCCTTATGACGTTTAAAGGAGATGGTGAGGCAGGGATTGCCATGATGCCCTTCCTGATGTGAGGCTTGGATTTTGGGGAGAATAGTGACTTGTCTAAGACCTTACCTTGTGATCCTTAGGGAGGAGTTGGGACTAGAACCCAGAATCCCAGCCTGGAGATCCACAAAGGGACTTGGAGGTCTCGGTGCAGTCAAGGAGAGGGGCAACCAGAGCAGTTTCAGGCTTCACTAACCTTTGTTCTCCCTACGTCACCCAAGAGTGTCTGCCTGCTCCCTGTAACCTGCAGGAAGGCCAGGTGAGAAGGGTGAGGGAGACACATGTCTCCAGGCCATGGCCCATTGTCGAGTCAGTGAGGTCTGGGGACCAGAGGCCTGAGCAGGGGGCAGGAGGTTCTCTGAGGGTCATGCCTTCTACCTCTCTGTCTTCTTCACCTGGCGTAGAATCCCACACAAAGAAGACCACTGCTGAGGATGCTCTGACAGGTTAATTATCCTTGTGTAACTGTCATTGGCAACTCTAACGAAATAAATGTAATTCCAAGAACTCTGAGAAAACACTCAGAAGATAAATAAATGGATTTCAACTGTGAGCCATGATTGAATTGACTTTCCTGTGGTTGGTAGCAGGTAAACAGAGGGAGGTAGAAACTTGGCAGACTCAGAGTAACTGCTCACAGAGGCTGAGCTGAGAGATGAGGCCAGACAGACCTGAACTGAAGACATTATGGCTTCACTTTTAACTTGAGGTTTGAGCAAAGGGAGAAGATGCAGTATATATGAAGCTTATGTGCTGTGTGTGCTATATGTAAGGGTTAATTACTCGAGTGATGTGTGCCACTGAAGAAAGAGATCACATTAAAGCCAGTTGCTATGAAGGCGTCTATCTAATGGCATCCTCGGGTGTGTCACAGTAGAACTGTGCTTGGCTCAGGCTGTCAGTGGATGGTTATTTGCAAGGAGATCACCAGACCTATCTTCTGAGGTGCCACTAGATGGATGCGAGCCTTCATCCTTCCAGTTAGCAGCCAAGCATATGGACAGTTTCCATCAGCCAGGGCCTTTGCTAACACACTGCAATTGTAAAAATGTCTCAGCATGTAAACACTTGTAACATAAAACAGAAAACCCAATTTCCCATCAGAGTAGGTAATTTCATCCGCCTTTAGTGGATTAAGGAGCTCTGGTGGCATAGTGGTTAAAGCACTCCGTTGTTCACCAAGAGATCAGTGGTTCTAGCCCACCAGCTACTCCGTGGGAAAAAGATGAGGCACTCTGCTTCCATAAAGGAGTATAGCATTGGAAACCATTGGGAAGTTCTACTCATTTCTAAAGGGTTGCTATGAGTTAGAATCAACTTGATGGCAATGGGTTTTTTGGGGGGTTTAGTGGATTAAAATAGTTTTTAAATAATTTCAATACTTGTTTCTTCTACCAACTTAAATACCAAGCACACTGATTAAAACATAATTTTATATTTTAGATATGGCCACGTTTTCTCTGGGTGGGTAAATATTGACTGTGATACAGAACTTGGCCTTCTCCTAATTGAAATGTTGAGAACATTTGCTCTGTCCCCTTTCCCATGGGAGATGTTTCTTTCCAGCCCTGTACGAGCAGTCCTGTGAAGCCTACAAGCACAGGGGGAACCCCTCAGGATTATACCACATCGACCCTGATGGCAGTGGCCCCCTGGAACCCTTCCTGGTATTTTGTAACTTAACTGGTGAGTTTAAATGTTTTATTTGAGTTCAGTTTGATCATTCATATTAAATACAAAACCCAAATTCACCAAGTAAGCATTTACTTGCTTGGCAGCTTTATTAGGATAACATTGTGATGTTGTTAGTTACCTTTGAGTCAGTACTAATTTATAGAAAAGCTGTGTACAACAGAACAAATACTACCCAGTCCTATAGCATGCTCCCAGCTGTTTCCATATTTGAGCCCATTGTTGAAGCCACTGTGTCAACCCATCTGGGAGAAGGTCTTCTTTCTCGCTGACACTCCACTTTCCCCAACATGATGTTCTTCTCCAGGGTCTGATCTCTTCTCGTAACATGTCCAAAGTATATGAGACAGAGCCTTGACTCTCGCAGCTAAGGAGTGTTCTGGCTGTACTTCTTCCAGGACATGTGTGTTCACTCTTCTGGGGCAGTCCATGGTGTATTCAGTATTCTTCACCAACATCATAATTCAAATGCATCCATTCTTCCTCAGTCTTCCTTATTCATTACCCAGCTTTTACATGTATATGAAGCAAATGAAAATACCATGGCTTTGGTCAGGTGCACCTTAGTACTTAAAGTGACTACTTCCATAGTGATACTGCCTTGGAAACCCAAGGAGAGTCGCTATGAGTCGGATCCAATTCAACAGCAGTGTGTTTGGTTTGGTTTTGGTTTAAAAGGAGCTCTGTACTGCCTAAGGCATTTGACTGCTAACCAAAAGACTGGTGGTTCAAACCCACCAGCCACACCTCAGAAGGAAGGTGGGGCAATCTACTTCCATAGTGATACTGTCTCGGAAACCCAAGGAGGTATCTCTATGAGTCAGATCTGACTTGACGACAGTGAGTTTGGTTTGGTTTAAGAGATCTTTTGCAGCAGATTTTCCCAATGCCATACATCATTTGATTTCTTGACCACTGCTTCCATGGGTGTGAATTGTGGACCCAAGTAAAATGAAATCCTTGATAATGTTTTCTCCGTTTATCATGATGCTGTTTGTTGGTCCAGTTGTAATCTACACTGAAGGCTATAGTCTTTGATCTTTACCAGTAAGTGCTTCAAGGCCTCTTCACTTTAGCAAGTATGGTTATGTTGTCTGCATATCACAGTTTGTTAATGAGTCTTCCTCCAATCCTGATGGTGCATCCTTCTTTATATAGTACAGCTTCTCGGATTACTTACTCAGCATACAGATTGAATTAAGTCGTGATGTACACCTTTCCTGATTTTAAACCATCCAGTATTCCCTTGTTCTCTTTGAATGACAGCCTCTTGGTCTATGTACAGGTTCCTCATGGGCACAACTAAGTGCTCTAGAATTCCCATTCTTCAAAATGTTATCCATAATTTGTTGTGATCCACATAGTTGAATGCCTTTGCATAGTCAAACACAAGTAAACATCTTTCTTGTATTCTCTACTGTCAACTAAGATCTATCTGACATCAGCAATGTTATCCCTCATTCCACATTCTGAATCCACCTTGAATTTCTGGCAGTTCTCTGTTGATGTACTGCTGTAGCAGTTTTTGAATTTTCTTCAGCAAAATTTTACTTGTGTATGATATTAATGATATTGTTCAATAATTTCCAAATTTTTTCAGGTCCCCTTTTTTTGGAATCTGCACAAATATGGATCTCTTCCCGTTGGTTGGCCTGGAAACTGTCTTCCAAATTTCTTGACAGAAACAAATGAGCCCTTCCAGCATTGCATCTGCTTGTTGAAACATATCAGTGGGTATTCCATGAATTCCTGGATCCTTGTGTGTTTTGCCAATGCCTTGAGTGCAGCTTGGACTTCTCCCTTGAATACCATTGGTTCTTGATCACATGCCACCTCCTGAATTGGTTGATCATTGATCAGTTCTTTTTGGTACAGTGACTCTGTGCATTCCTTTCATCTTCTTTTGATGCTTCCTGCATCGTTCAATATTTTGCCCATAGAATCCTTCAGTATTGCATCTCGAGTCTTGAAGTTTTCCTTCAGTTCTTTCCATTTGAGAAATGCTATGTTTGTTCTTCCCTTTTGGTTTTCTGATTCCAAGTCTTGGCACATTTCATCAGAGTACTTTGTCTTCTTGAGCTGCCCTTTGAAATCCTCTGTTCAGCTCTTTACATCCTCATTTCTTCCATTTACTTTAGCTTTGTTATATTCAAGAGCAAGTTTCAGAGTCTCTTGTGACATACGTTTTTGTCTTTTCCTTCTTTCTCATCTTTTTAATAATCTCTTGCTTTCTTCATGGTTGATGTCCTTCCTGTCATCCCACAGTGCATCTGCTCTTCAGTAATTAGTGTTTAGTGCATCAGTTCTATTCTTGAGATGGTCCCTAAGTTCAGGAAGTGATACCAGGTGAATTATTCAGTAAAAGTATTTTGTATAATTCTTTTTTTGTAAGTTCAAACCAGGAAATTCCTAATTATGTCAATACTTGCATGCATGTGCTCTGTGAAATATTTAATAATAATGTCTTGCCTATAAATCCTAAAATAAAAAGGTTTTAGGACATCTCTGATTGGATCTGATTGGATTAATAAGTATGGAATTCAAAAGAGTATTCCCTTCGTAAGTGACTGTGAACATAAGTTTCATTTGCATTGGAACTATTCAATTCCTGTGGAGATACAGTTCTTTTGTATTCATGAGCACTGTATCTGTAACCACAGCTGAAGCAGCAGATAAATGACTTGGTCACACCTGTATCTAACCTCTCCTGCCTCATCTAGGCTAACCTGACTGTTGCAGATTTTATTGTGTCCGCATAAAATGAGTCTGCTTGGCTGCACTGTGATTCTCAGTATTATGTAATTATCCTCTGTTTTGTGATCTGATGTAATTATCCTGTGTGTTATGATGTTAATTCCTTGGAAGGAAGACTGGGCAATCTACTTCCGTAGAGATGCCACCTCAGAAACCCAAGGAGGGTTTGCTATGAGTTAAGCAGGATTAGAGGCAGGTATCTTTTTTTTTCTGGGCTTTTTAATATAAATGAACATTCTTGACTTACTAATGTTTAGAGCAACGACACTTATTTACTACTCCGCTTGAAATGGAAAACTTGCTCTAAAGTTACTTCATTCTTTTTCTCTTTTTCAAAAGTGCATCTCGTAGCTCCAGCTGCTTTTCTCTGAAGAAACGTTTATTTTTTGACCAGACATTCTGGCTATACCGCATCATCATAAAGTTCTTCTGTTTTTTCTTCTCTTTATTTGTGGAACTTGAAAATGGATTCATTTTGGTTTTCTTCCTCACAAATTCTTTTCCATCTGTCTTTCCAGCCATTGCAGTTGCTAGTCTTTTCTCCTTGTCAGACTTTGGTTTTTTATGAAGGTGTTCAGTGTCTTGAAGTGAAAGTAATTCTCCCTTGGGCTCCTCATCACTGTCTATTTGAATGTATTTCCTCTTTTCTGCTTTCCCGGGGGCAGCACTGAGTTCTTTTCTCATTTGGGCCATGCTGATTTTCTGGAAGTCTTCCTCAGTTAAAACCTGACTAGTGCTGATGGCTGCAGCTTTGGCTTTCTGCTCCTCCATGGACATGCAGTTCAGCTTCTTGTAAATTTCTTGCTGTTCTACATCAGAAGAGTGGTGCACGTCAATCCATTCACCATCATCATCTTCGTCTTCACTGAGACTGGCACTTTCCCGTTCATCTTCATCATTTTCAGCATTCTCTTCCTCTTTCTCAACTTCCAGAACTTCTGCTCCTGGAATGTAATCTTTAGCACCTAATTCTCCATATTCTTGCACTCTTGTTTCTATTGAGGCCTCCACAGGCTTACCCCAGAATTTCTTGTGCAACATCTGAGGATTCAGTGTTCAGAAGAGCTGAATCAAAGTTCTAGCAGACATCATCACATTCTTATCTTTGTGTGTTTTAAACTGGGCCAGGTCTTAGAGAAGTTCTTCAGTCATGGCTAAAGGACATCGAGCTGTTATCTCTTATAGCATTGATTCCTACTGTCATAACTTCACCAGAGTTCTTGTCACTAACAAAATTGTTGGCCACAGTCATGAGCAATGACTGAATGATCTCTGGGGGAACCAAGTGATGAGATGCTTGTGTGGCAAACAGAAAGATCTTTGTTACTTCTCTTTGGTGGGGCTGTAGAAACCTCTGAATAAAGGGGTAGAAGTTAAAGAGGAAAAGCTCATGAATTCCCACCAATCTGGATATAAGGTTCATGAGCATCATCTTCACTTCAAATCTCTCCTTAGAGCTCTCTAGTTGTTTTAGTAGTTTTTCTGCAAAATCTTGGGGATCATGAATCAAGTGAATAGCTGAAAAGTTAAACACTTCTGGTTTTTTCTTCTTCTTTTGTTTCTTGAGCACTTTCATAGCCTTTTCCAATGTTTTCTTGTGTTTAGAGCTTTTCTTCCCTGTAGCATACAGTACTAGAAGGTCTCTTGCTGTTGGTCCTTCATCCTCAGATTCTGGCTCACTTTCCTGTTTCTCTCTTCATCTTTCCCTAGGAAGAATGTCAAAGCAGTGGCTAATGTCTTGGTGACCTTAGAAAAGCATGCAGTTGTGATAACATTAACAGTTTTGGCATCATTCCAGATGTTTCTTCCGTAGAGTTCAATCATCACATCCAAAGACATCTTGGCTGAAGTTGCATTACTGTCTCTTAACATGGTGTACATGAAATTTTGCAAGACTATATTACCTTTATGGTTCTTGTGTTTTGCATTTATGTGCTTGATATCAGTCACAATATGAGTATATAAAGTCTTTTGCAGAAGCTTATCATGGCAACACAGAAGTTCAAAGAAGAGCTCCAGCAAACTTGATGGATTAATGAGATTCTTATTTCTCAGTAATATCAAAGCTTGCAAAATGTCATTCGTAGATCAGGATCCAAGAGAGTGTGATTATAAGACAGCAGATCTTTCAGTTTCTGAGAAAAGGTACTTAGATGTTCTGGGTAGCTGTGACTAATCTGTACCATAAACATCACCAGCTCTGCCAGTTCTTTGCTGGGTTTATTTGGTTGTAATTTGAAAATCTCCACATTGGATTTGTAGCGATTATATTGCTGTAGAAACTCTTCGATGTAGGCTGGCGGGTCCCGCTTGATCAGATTCTGTAACTGAAGGAGGTTGCTGGGTAGCTTGTTGTCGTTTCTGCTGGACATACTGGGTCAGAAAATCCACACAAGAGAAAAACTCTGCTTCGTCTCCGCTAAGGTTTAAAAACGTGTATCCGAACGTAACTGGTAGAGGCAGGTATCTTAGTGAGGCAGGATACAATCTATAGGATTAAATGGTATTTTGAGTTAATCTCTTTTGAGCTATAAAAGTGATGAAACAAGCAAGCAAAAATCACAGAGAACTGACTACCAACAAGAGGAGTCAGTAGCAAAGCACATCTTTCAGACCTGGGGTCCTTGTGCTGAGAACCTCCTGAGCCCAGGAGGCGTTTGATGCCAAGACACATGGAGATCTCCAAGGAGCACCACGCCCACAGATGTTGGAAGAGACAAGGGCTTTCCCTAGAGCTGGTGCCCCAAATTGGGACCTCTAGCCTCCTAAAGTGTTAGAGAATGCATCTCTGCCTGTTAGAACCATATGCTGGGGTATTTCTATGAGAACAGTGCCATCGTTCTCACCATCCCAGATGGGACACCTTCGGTGATGCTGTTGCTCTGTTGCTGTTGTGCAGCAGTGACAGGTGGGTCCTCAGTTACAGTCACCAGATAGAAGTATTTCCTCCAAGCGTTCAGGTCTGTGAGTTTTGAGGAAATGCTCAGGACAGTAGAATGAGCAGCAAGTGAAAGGGGGAGATTGAGCCGTTTATTCATGTTTTAAGTTACTCCCCTGTGTAGGGGTTGAATATGTGACACCAAACTTACGTCCACTTAGAAACTGTGAGGGTGACCTTATTTGGACGTAAAGTCTCTCAGAGGTATTCAAGTTAAGGTGAAGTCCCAGTGAAGCAGGGTGCTCCCTAAGTCTAATGACTGGTGTCCTTATAAGAAGAGGGGTCTTTGGAGACACACAGACACAGACAGAGGGAAGATGACCGTGTGAATACAGAAGAAGAGATTGGAGTGATATGTCTCCAGGCCACGAGCACCAAGGATTGACAGCAGCCTCCAGAAGCTGAAGGACAGGCAGGGAAGAGAGTCTTGCCTAGAGCCTTCAGAGGGAGCACAGCACTGCTGATAACCTGATTTCAGACTTCTGGCTTCTGGCCTCCTGAACTCAGAGAGACTGTGCTTTGGAGCCCCTTGCTTTGTGGTGTTCTGTTACAGTAGCCACTTGATGCTAACACATCCTAGTAAGAATACAATTTCCCTATGAAAAGAGTAATTTGTGAGAATAATTTATGACATTATTGTTTTGACAACTTTTGAGTAGGTTAAAAAATTCTCAGGAAGCTATTAAATCTTCTGTCTCTTCAATACCAAAAGAAAACCCAAATGCATTGCCACTGAGTTGATTACCAACTCATAGCAGCCCGGTAGGACAGAGTAACTGCCCACAGGGTTTCCAAGCCTGTAAATCTTTACAGAAGCAGACTGTCACATCTCTCTCCTGTGGAGTGGCTAGTGGGCCTAAACCACTGATATTCTGGTTAGCAGCCAAGTGCTTAACCACTGGGCCACCGGAGCTCCTTTTGTCCCCTCAATACCAAACAGAAAATCAGACTGCTTTTGCTTTCTGGTGATCTGACCAGAAGTGAATCAGTAGGTCCTCTGAGCTGGGAGATTTGCTGTGACTGAGACACGGAGCCCTTAGGAGACAGCTGTAGCACACCACTGCTTGTAGGGATCACGTCAACACGAGCCCCACTTACAGCCAAGCTGTGAGGTTTTGGTGAGACATCACAGGCTTCATCAGAAGGAGCAACACTGGGGCTGATAAAACACCGATAGGGAAGTCCAGGAGATACCCAGAGAATGTCGGGACCCTAGAGGCAGGCACACGCCTCCTCTTCATCAGTCAGTGGCTCCATGCTGAGGATGCACTCCTACCAGGTGCTGTCCAGCCTTCCTGCAATCTGAAGGTGCATCTGTGCCACGGGACAGTCCTCTGTGCTCCTTGTAACCCACTGTAGTACATGGCAGCCAGCTCTGCTGATGCACCTGCCAGAAGAGTCCTCCCCTGGGTCCACCACCAACCAGACTTTTCCATCAAGAGCTGCTGACCAGAATAATGCTTCTCCTTTTCAATAAAACAATCAAAAGGGAGGGACTGAGTACCTGTAGGATGATAGGTCTTTATGCATGTGCTCATGTGTACACATGCACATACTGAGCGTGGTATGTGTATAAGCACATATATATGTATCCATGTGTACATGCATGTTTCTGTGTGTACAGTGGCTAGGGAGACTGCCTGGAGCATATCCACACCATCATTAATGTTGCTGCACATTCTGAAAACATACTGCATTTCTTTTTTATTGCTTGGAAACAGAATTTCCACAGCGTGTTTCATGATGGAGCAAGTTAATGACATTGTGTGAGTCCTGACAGACCCAGCCCATTAACTAAACTGGCTTCGTTTTCTGGACTGGAAGTTGGCTGGCTGAGCTTTGCAGGGTGGATCGGTGATAACTGAGGGTCACACAGACCCTGATAACCTGCAACAAACCTGTGTGGACTCAGCCGCCATCACCACAGAGTTCCAGGTACAAATCAGGGCTGGCTGCATTGCTGTCCACTCTGTACTGTATCTGCTCGGCAGGTGTTGCATCACCAGGGACAGTGAGGCAAGCGGTGGGAGACCTGAAAGGCCTCTTCCAGCTGCACGTTCTCTGACTCTACGACAGCAGGCTGCTAGGTGTCGGGAGGAAACACGGTGTCATGGCTGTGTCCTTCTGTAAAGGACCGTGATGTTTAGGGCTCAGAGTACACTGAGGGTGGAGGCATGTGGGAGGGGGATAAGCAGGTCTCTGTGTCTCCTGCCCCCTTACCTGGGCACACCTACTGGGAGTGGCACGTCTCGGTGTGTGCTGGTCACACATTCTGATTTTCAGACTCTTGTGAACGAGTATACATACACACACACATCAAACAGCAGCTCCATCTGGCTGCTTCCGAGGCCCTTTGCTCTGTACAGTCCCAGTGAAAATGAACCGTTGAACTGACTGCTTTTTCTGGAGGGGCTGGGGGCTGGGCTCGCTAAGCAGAGTGGACCGTGGGAATGTGAGGAGCCTGACAGCCCTTCATCTGCACCAGGATTCACTGCTGCAGAGTTTAAACTCCACCTTTGGATCCTGCGAGATGGAGATGCACTCTGGAGGTCCAGGGGCCCTGGCCAGTGTCACCCAGCTCAGTCCTGGTTACCAGCTAGCTGTACCTCCAGGACACAGTCCCTGCTTCTCACTGCCTGCCTGTCTCAGCCCTGGGGGCCCCTGGGCTTCCTGTTAAAGGGTCTGAGCCAGGAGGTTGGATGCACAGAGTAGTGTCTGAGAGCAGGAAAGCCCTGTTTACACTGTGATTTTAGGTTATTATGGACATTTAATGAGGAGCTCTGGTGGTGCAGTGGTTAAGACATTGGGCTGCTAACCAGAAGGTAAGCAGTTCAAGCCCACCAGCTTTTGCATGGGAGGAAGATGAGGCAGTCTGCTTCTGCAAAGATTTACAGCCTTGGAAACCCTATGGGGGTTGCTATAAGTATGAATCAACTGGACGGATGGCAGTGGGTTTGGATTTTTTTTTTTTTTTTTTTTTATGGACATTTCATATCCAGTTCTTTCTACAAAAGTTTTTAAAAAAAAAAGCCAAACTCACTGCCCTCGAGATGTTCCCAACTCACAGCGACCCTCCTTGGATTTCCCAGGCAGTATCTCTATGGAGGTAGATTGCCCAATCTTCCTTCCAAGGAGTGACTGGTGGGTTTGAACTGCCAGCCTTCTGGTTAGCAGTCAAATGCCTTAGGCACTATGCCACCAGAGCTCCCTCTACAAAAGTTAAGTCTGGCTAAATACCCAAACTCTTAATCATTTTTATTCATTTCCAAGCACTTAAAAGGATCTAGAAGTATAGATATATGGGGACCCAAACTCAGTCAAAAGACCACTCTTTCCTGTTTAGCAGTAAAAACCGGTGCATGTTGGTTCACCAGGGAGTGGCTGTGACTGTGAGGGTGTGGGGCTTGTGCAGGTGTCCTGTGGAGGTGACAGTCCCCTTCCTCCCCTCTCCACCTCCAGACATCCCATGGACGGTCCTGCAGCACAACGGCTCGGCGCTCACAAGGGTCAAGGGTGCCAGCCCCCCACACCCACACTCAGTGGCCTTCCAGTATGCTGCCAGCGAGGGGCAGCTGCGGGCCACCGTGGCACGCGCCAGCCACTGCCAGCAGGAGGTTGTCTACCACTGCAGGAGGTCGCGGCTCCAGGATGGGCCAGGTAGGACCCAGAGGGGGTGGCCCCAGGGCTCCCGGCCCCCCGGGCCTGGGGGTGCAGGTGTCTTCATCAAAGGGGCCCCAGGGAACGCGTGGACGGGCTCTCCACCCAGGGCCTGCTTCTTGCAGAGTCCACCTCAAGGCGCTCCTGTCCTGGGGCTGGCTCCCAGCAGCTTTGTCCCTGGGCCCAGAGCAGGAAGCCGTCACTTGGCTGAGCGGGGCATGACTTTCCACACGCAGCCCTCCACACGTCAGCCCAGGAGGTGCTAGGTCCCCCTTAGCAGGCTGGCGGGGGCCTGTTCCCTACCTCTGAGGCCACCTCGAGGTCCCAGGCATGCCCCACTCATCCCCGCTTCGGGCAGGCACTCTAGGCCTTCCATACCTGGGTGTGAAGAGGTTCCTCTGTGCAGATGCAGCTGCCACACAACCTCTTCCGCTCCTGCACCTGCCTCGCGGGTTTCCTTGTAGTGCAGACCCCCACCCCCCTCAGCACCCCCCAACCCACAGTGCAGACCCCCCCACTGCTCAGGCCACCCACTGTCCCTGTGGCTGGTCCCATGGGGTTCACCGCCAGTGCTTCATAGCCTAACAACTCACCCTTGAACAACGGGGCAAATTATTCCTCTTTTTAGCAGTTAGATAAATTTGTTAGCTTCAAGTTAGAGCCACTGCCCAACCCTCACTTGGCATCTTTTCCTGCCAAAGAGCAAAGTTACAAGTGGAGGAAAGTTACAGCGTGGGGCCCAGGCCTGATGTATGTCCACGAGTGGGACGGGGGCTGCCAGGCCCTGCTTCCCTTCAGCACCAGGTAGAAGGGGGTCTCCTGCACCCCTGGGGCTGGGCTTGCTGTGAGAGCATGCCTTCCTGCACCTGCTTCCTCCCCAGGGAGCTCCTCCCATCATTTGGACTAAACCTAGGTACGAACAGCTGCCCACTGACACTTGGGCCCTACTTTCTGTAAGTAACGGTACTGCCTAGTTCAGGGCTCAGACAGAGGCCGGGGCAGTTCAGAGGCTGTCTCTCCGGACAGGGGGCTCTGGGTGGAGCCATCAACCTTGGACGTGACAGGCAAAGGTTCTGAGACAAGGAAGAGTCTGTGCCAGGTCTGGTGTCAGGGTGGCAGGCGAACCTGGGGTGAATTGTCAGTGGAGATGGAGAAGGAAGTGGACGAGGTCCCCTGACTGGGGTCACAGAAGTGAAGCGTTGGGGGAGGGAGTGAACAAGGTCCCCTGATCGGGCTCATGGGGGTGAAGTGTCAGTGGAGAAGGAGAGAGTAGACGAGGCCCCCTGACGGAGGTCAGGATGCCCTTGGATGGCAGGATGAAGATTTTGTGTGAAGGTTGCCAGTGTTGACACCACACTGTGAGTTTTGGGTGGGCCTCGTCATTGGGCTCCCCCACATGCCCCGGGTGGCAGGGATGGGTGACCACTTCGTAGCTCAGGGTGCCCCCTTGAGGGCTGGGCTAAGGACATGGAGAGGCCCATCCACAGCTGTCTGATGGTCTGGAGTACAGGCACCCGGGAGAGAGGGAGAGGAAGGGCACCATGGAAGGTCAGGCCCCGGAGAAACAGGAGCAGGTGCTGGGAGTTTGGAATGTGGGAAAGGCAGGAGGGAGGTGGGCGGACAAGCCCAGTTGGGAATTGGGAATTCAGAGGACAAGCTCTGGTCTCAGGTGAAGCTGTGCTCGATGCTGCTAAGGTGCAGAGTCCCCAAATGTCGCTTCCCAAGCCATGACCCTGTGGCCCGGTAATTAGTGGGGACACAGGCTGGGCTCAGCTCAGCGGGCCTGAGGCTGCAGGCAGCTCGCAGCCAGGAGAGAGCTGGTGAGTCAGGAACACACCTTCCAATCCCTTGGCATTTGTTCCTGTTTCCTCTCTTACTTTCCTCTCTTCTGTGTCTTCTCTTGTTTTCCTAAGACTTGCTGTGCTTTCCACAAATCTCTAGAACCTTAAAGAATCACAGCTGGACCTGGAGGCCCTTGATACCCTTACAGTGTTTTGACAATTGCTGTTTTATTGGGAAGATGAGAATGTGTGCATTAGAAATAGTCACCCGCTGGAGTACAATGGGTTCCTTCCTCCTCACTTTCTCAGAGCATGCTGCTGCAGTAATACAGTTTCAGAGTATTATTACCAAAGGTACCTAGCTATCAAGAACCTCAATTAACCTTTGACCTCCAAGAGTGAGCTTTATTTGAAATTGCGTCTCTGGTGCTCTCAGGGACCTCACACTCTCCCAGAAGTGCGGGCAGACAGCAGCCAGCAAGGCCGTGGGTTTGTCTCAGACAAGAGGCTCGGAATCTAACAGTGAGTCAGAGCAGGGGCTGCACAGCAGTGACCAGAAATTCCCAATGTTCTGGGGCCTAATGTGACAACTCACAGGTTTAGACCAGATGCAGAGACTGCGTGGCAACAAGAGGAACAGATGCCACAGTGCCCTTCCCTCCTCCTGGTGCCAGATTCCCCACGTGTGGCAGCCCCACCAGCCGCCCAGCCTCCTTCTAGGGTGGGCTTGCCTGCTGGCCTCTCCTCATCCTCTCCCGAATGTTCAGAGTCGGGGATTTCTGGTCACTGCTCTGCAGCCTCTGCTCTAACTCACTGTCTTGCAAAGAAAGAGAGAGATGTGGCCACGAACCAGACCCTCAGGTGCTGCAAGACTAGCATTCATAAGGAATGTAAGTGCGGTTCTCGCGGGGAATCGTAGGAAGGAGGGTATGCTCAAGTGCATGTGGGACCAAGGACAGGTGGGAGCCAGGTGCAGAGGTCCAGGGATGTGCGGGACACAGGTTTGGAGGCTTACATTCACACCTGACCCAGGTGAGAGGTTCAAGTCCATGTGGGATCCAGGTGCAGAGGTTCAGGGACGTGCAGGATGCAGCTTTAGAAGCTCATGTCCACGAGGACCCAGGTGCACTGGGCCAGGGACTTGTTTCCAAGAAAAGATTCAGGAAGGAAAAAGACTTGTCACTATTATTGTGTCACTCCACAGGTGAACAAGCGCAGTTTTCAAGACGAGAAATAAACTTTTAATGCCAAAAGTTTCTGTGCCACGAGGCCAGTGGGCACCACAGTTAGGCAGACAGTTCCTCAGCGAATGACGGCAGGAGAGCAGTCAAGGACTTAGCCTAAAATACTGATTCTGCTTAGTTTCAAGCAGGCATTTCATGATCCCAGCCGGCTGTTAACTTCAGGGTAAAAACTGCTGTTTTCTACTTTGATGCCAACTTCCTTTTTAATGTCATTCTTAAAGAAATGACATAAGTGTGCTTCTTAAAAATTAGTTAATACCACAAGAGAAGGAGTTGGGTACTATTGTTCACTCTTTAAAACGTTACAGAGTTAAAAAGAGTGATTCTGGAATATGTGCAGACAGGCAGCTTGGTTAGTGTACCATCCTGTTACAGTGGTGAGGATAGACTCCTTTCTGAACTCTTTGTCTTTCCTCTTTGGTTTCTCTGTAATAACCTGGGAGAAAAGGGGCCTCTGGAATGGTGGTGGGGAAAGTCTGGGATCAGCTTCTCTCCTTTGTCTTGCAGATGGTGCCCCACTGAGCTGGTGGGTTGGAAGAACCAATGAGACACACACCTACTGGGGAGGCTCCTTGCCTGAAGCTAGAAAATGCACTTGTGGATTAGAGGGGAGCTGCCTGGATTCTCAACATCTCTGCAACTGCGATGCTGACCTGGATGAATGGTGAAGTGCATATGATTTCCTTCAGGATACATGGTTTTGTTGTCATTGGAAGTGACATGTCTAGGTACATATTGTGCACGTTAGCATGAGGAGGGAGACAGATGAAAGTATGTCCCAGCGAGTTAAAGGTGTATATTGTGACAGAACATGGCACAGTTAATCTGCAGCCTAAATGTTAATATGTTCAACAGTTGTTGGCTCACTCCTTCCTTTCTTCCTCCCTCCCTCCCTCCTTCCCTCCCTCCCTCTCTTCTTCCTCCCTGCTTCTCTTCCTCCCATTTGTTTCTTTTTGTCTTGGTCTCCTTCTTATGCTCAACATTTTTGTTACAGACAGTGACAAGCTCACATAAAGTAGTGACAGTAGCATTAATGAATCCTCATGTACCCATCACCTAACAACCTCAGTGGTTACAGACTAATGGTCAAGCTTTTCTTATATGTAATCCCACCTACTCACCACTCACCAGATTTTGTGGAGAAAATCTACATATCACATCATTCCATCTGTCAAAATCTTACTGTTTGATAATGAATAATCCATTGTAAATTATGCACATTTTATTTGTTGGATATGACCTTCGCCTTATTAAAGGGTTAGAATCGGCCTGGTTACGTGCATTTAAGGAGATGTTGTTAACAGGACATATTTTCTAAAATGATGTCCAAAGCATTTCCCTCCGTACTCTTGACACCTGAGAGTTCCATGATCAAGCAGGTGTGGGAGATGGTACTTCCTCTGCATCATTTGCTTAGACAGGATTTGTACGTCAAAGACTCAAAAGTCCTGCATAAAGGATTCCATTCAACTGACTGAACTTGCTTGTCTAGAGTTATTTGATGATGTAGCTGGATTTTTTAAAGTGAAAAAACATGTCCTAGTGCAGAGCACACTTTGGAAAGAATAACCTACAGAATTCAAGGCCTTAAAAATGCCCCAAACTGTCTGCTAAACAGGAAAATGCTCTCACGTAGATTAGAAAAGCAGTGAAATTAGAAATTTATTAATTACATTTGAGACTAAACATGGAATGCATATTGACATTGTAACTTTTAAAGTGAAATGTTTTGGAATTTCTGAATTTGTGTTTCAATATGTGTCATCGATTGAAAACAACTTTCGCCTGGCTCCACTGCTTTAAATGCATTTATGTGCTACAATGAGGTCTAGGAGTTGAAATTAACTTGATGGCACCTGACAACAACTACAACTCTGAGTGTGGGCTGTGAGCACAAAACAACCTGAAAAATCAAATTTGATCAATATGATTTGACTACAGAATAATTGTTATATTCGGCAGTTAGTTCACTCAGAATGAGTTCACCATTTCAACTGCACAATTTCCAACGTGTCCACTTGGCATGAACAAAGACTAGGATACCTCACTTCTAGAATATATGGGGCAATTTGGAAAACGTACCCAATAGAACATAATGGGGGACGATCAACACAGAATATGATGGTATTTTTCAAATGCACGCTCATGTAAAGTGTACTTCTTCTCTTACTCACATTCTAAGTTATAAAGCCACCCAACCACTCTTAGAACTCGTGTTCTTTTCTGTCTACTGTGGCTAATAAATTCCAATGAAACAATACCCTATTTTATAAACTAAATCTAGTTTCCTTACTGAATTCTTACCACAACCTGAGTAGTAGTGACAGATGTCGTAACATTTTTACTGTCTGTCCCTTTACAGAAAAATTTGCTGACCCCTGATCTAGTGGGGAACAGGCAGAGATGCTGGAACAGCCTTGGCAGCAAGCTAGGAAGGGACAGGAGACTCAGATGGGAGCACATTTGGAATCCATTCATCTGCTAGCCATGTTCACCTGGACGGCCAGAGGGCCCTTGTTCATAAGGCAATAAAGAAACGCTGAAGAGAGACAAGTCCAGAGGACTGATAGCTGCTGAAAGCCACAGTATCAGCAGGGAAGAGAAGATCCCAGAGTGCACTTCACCATGGGAAGCCAGGTGTATCTGATAGGCAACTAGTCAGAGTGACATCCAGGGCTCCTTGGCTCACAGGGGTATATGTGATGGTTGATAAAGAAAAGTAGGTTAGAAAAATAAGTGGACAGTGATAGACAGTATCATTTGACTTCTATAGCCAGAAACTGTCAAGAGTAGGGATCTGGACTCTGTGATATAAAATCATAATCAAACAACTTTTTGTTTTAACAAACTTTAGACTAAAAGATACAGTGCAAGAACGGTGAAGAGAATCTCTGTGTACACGTTGCATGGCCTTCCCAAATTGAGGGATGTGTTAATGATCTGCATCCTCTGCTGTCCTTAACTGGTGGACAATGTCAGAGATACCCTCAGGCAAAGATGAAGGACACCCACGGTGTGCCTGGGACATCTGGGTGGCTCCAACAGTGTCTGCCACAGTCCACTCCTGGCACTGTAGTCTAGACCACCTGGGTCTGCACTGAATCCACTGTCTTGTCTCTTCAGGGTGGTGGCCAACAGCCATCCTTAGTGGGCTCTTGATGCTGGTCCCGAAGTTCTGAATGGTATCCTCCATCTTCCTCTTTGACTGTACATTTCAGAGCCCCCTCACTCTTGGAGCCTTGCTGCTGATCAAGTTGTCTGCCAAAGGGAGCAGATTAGACCCCACCTCTGGGCATCTGTCCCTTGGCCTTTCTCTGGCAAGACTGTGGTGACTGCAATTACCCATTGACTGATACCACTGTGCATGGTAGCACCCAAGAACCCAGAGAACTGCTGGGGGTACTTTAGCTGGGCTTCTTGGCAATCCTTAGTGCCAACATTACATGAACATGCAGCTTCCGCACACTACTGAAGATAGAGGAATGAATACCTCTGCAGTGGTGCTACAGAGTCTCATGGTAGACCAGACCTCCTGTGAGCCACCAGCAGTGGAACAGATAGAGGTATTGGGAGCACCAAAGGCAAACCTATGACAAAAAGCAGATAGGTCTCTCCAGTGCAGAAAGAGTCCAGTGCGATGAAGTGTCCTCTTTGCCATAGGTCCTATGTTCCCGGGCCCTGATGCAGGCACCAGTGTCTGAGGACTGTGCTGGCTCTTCTCCTCCCACAAGCCTTTGGTCTCATAGTTGTTTAGTGCCTTTCCTGTGGTGGATGCCTGTGGTTGGCACTGACATGAGACCATAAACCCCGACACTCTCATCAGCCTCTCCATATGTTTCTTCCCAGGTTCTTTGTCTCCTGTTTTTCTATCTTGTTCCTTCCTGGACACAGACCAACCAGCCACGACATCATGCATTTCTTTACCTTCAACTGCTTCTCCTTTGACACCAGGTTTACAACTAAGTGCACTACTCTGAGCTCTGCCCACTGGAAGGACGTCTCTTCACTGTGATTCTTTAGAGCCCACACATCCAACAGCAGCCATTTTTGTCTTGAGTTACATGATGTTGGCCCCAGGGTTTCCTGCTCCCATGAGCTTGTCACAAGTGTGAGCTGGGGCAGAAGCATCCTGATATGGAAGTCAATGGTAGGAGAGTGTGGGCTACTGTACGTGGGACTTAGTCATGCCCAGACTGGCTCAAACTTGGAGTTACCATTCTTTTTGACTGGTGGGGTTTGGCTGTGTTCACCCAGATTCATGACTCAGTGAGCCTGACAAAACTCAGCTCATGATGGGCAGCTCCAGTGGTACAGTTAATCGATGCCCTACAGCCAAATATTCAGTCTCTACTGGCCACAGGGGCACGCAGCCTTGCAGCTGAACATACAGCCTTGCTTCAGAACCTTAGGGATCTGCAAGGCAAGTTTCCTACTGGGGATAGGGGTGCCAGAGACTCCACACAGCATCCTTTTATATCCCACAGAGATCACTAGCACTTTTGGTCTCCAAGGCCTTTTGGCCCAAGCAACCAACATGGAAGCCTGGATCTGCTGCAAGGTACTGTCATACTCTGAGCCCTACTAAAACCAGCAGCCTCCCCATGACCTGGTAACTGAGTAACTTCCCATGACTGGTATAGTGTTTCCAAGTGCTGCTACATGCTGCACCTCTTTCTTAGTTATTAAAGAGTTAAAAAACTTATTTACTCAAGGTAATTAGCCCCTAAATCTCCAATTTGGCAGTCATTCAGAGTACCTTTTACTTCTTGTTCACTAGGCCTAATTAATACAATCTTGGTCCATGGAAGGACAAGGTGATCAAAGTTCTTGAGTTGGTATAGTCCCAGGAAACTGAAGCATTAATACAGCCCATGGCAACAGAATAAATGTGTACTGTTGTCACTCCCAGGTAAATGCAAACTATTTTTGATGCTCTTTACTGATTGATATTGAAAATAATGTTTTGGTAAATTAATAGGTGAATATCCAGGTATGTTTTGGTAGAGGTATCACATCTATTACAGCAGCTGTGATTAGGATTTCTTCTTAATTTAATTTATGGTAATCTGCCATCACCCACCATCATCTGGCTTGACTGTACAGGTCCATGACAATGATTTAAAGGGAATGCAATGGAAACTACCATCCCTCCATTCTTTAGGTCTTTGAGGGTGGCATGATCTCTGTTATTTCTCCCAGGCTGTGGCGTTATTCATGGAGTTTCCTAGGTGGGGAGTGGGCTTTTAGGAGCTTCCACTTGGCTTTTCTTCTTTATGACTATTACTCTATTGCTCAGGGATGTTCCAATCATACACTCACAGACAAGGGAGAAGAATGAAAAGTAGCAACACTACTTATCACTCTAGGGATCAGGGGGCATTTCTGGTCTTCTGACAGCAGGGTCATGTAACCCTATTTGCAACCAGCCTCAAAAGATGGAGCTAGTCTCCTTCTCCAATGTTAAGGGGCTCTGGTAATGGTCACCCAAAGGGGTAGGGTGACTTGCTGGATGTCACCACATCCTTTTTCAAGTCTGTCCCATAGTCATTGGGTTCTGGGTGGGGTCTAGTCTGCTCCCTTTGGCAGACAACTTGATCAGCAGCAGGGCTCCAAGAGTGAGGGGGCTCTGAAATGTACAGTCAAAGAGGAAGATGGAGGGTACCA